ATCTTTACAGGAGCAGGCAGCCTCATCTTTCTGCTGAGGAGCAGCTTGTGGGTTTGAACTGCCAACCTGACAGATAGCAGCCTAACACTTCCCAAACGGTACCTTCCCATGCGGGTGCCTTCTCTACCAGATAAACAAAAACCCAACTCACTGTTATGAAGGCAAGTGTTTAAATGACGTTTTTGTTGGGTTTTAAGTGAGCCAGGTAGTGGAGGTTACATTTCAGACCATCAGCTTTGCAGTCAATCATTCAAGCCGCCCATCTCACCCCCTTCCCTATAGAACACCCTCCCTGCCCCCACCCACTGTCTCTCCTCCTCAACCCTCTCGCCAGGGCTGCTTCTTCCAACCTTGCCCTCCTGCCTTCGGGAACCTCCAAGTTCTTTTCCCTTTGACATCCAAGGCTTCGTCTGACATGCAAGTCTCCGTCCTGATAGTAATGAACTCATTCAATAGTTGCCCCTTTGTGACTAACTTCACCCAGTATAGTGTTCCAGCGAGTCCGTTCTGACGTACACAGTGACACCATCGGGGCCAGAGTAGAACTGCCCACTGTGGGGAGAGCAGGTTGCCTCATCTTTCTACCGAGGGACCAGGTGGAGAGTTCAAACTGCTGACCTTAAAGTTACAGCCCAATGTGTGATCCACGATGCCGCCGCCACCACCGGGGCTCCACGTCTCTGCCAATAGCAAACTCCAAAGCAAACGCAGTGTCATCAGATCGATTCCCCCAGGAGACATGGTAGAACGCCCCATGAGTTCCTGAGACTAGAACTCTTACTGAGAGTAGAAAGCCCTCCCAAGGTGGTTTTGAACTGTTGACCTTGAAGTTAGCAGCCCCAGACTTAATCTGGCATGCCACCAGGGCTCTAGTTCTCCACCAAGAACCAGGGAGGCCCAGAAGTTGAATCAGCACCAAGAACAGCTCCATTGCGCTGTGGGATGAGGAGGAGGGGGATGAAGAGCGGCTGCCTCTTGGATGGTTGGCGCGGTTTGCTTTTGTTTGGTTGCCTTCCGCGGTGCCTTTCCCCCTCAGCCGTGATGATCTACTTCTCAGTCCTATTTAAAATGCTGCCCACCAATGTCTTTCTAAGTCATGAGCTCTCCATTGGGTAAAATGCACACGCACACTCCAGCACACACCCAGGTGCACCTATGTAGCCTCTTTGTTCCATGTGTGTACGCACACGGAAATTCTTGAAGCAGCCTGGCTCTTACAGTTTGCCTTCCAATGAGCATGCTCCTGGGTGGGATGTCCATCAAAGAGTAGGAGGCTTGCCGTCCTCCAGTGGATGCCCGTCTGCTGTGGCTGTGTCGATGTGATTGGGGGGGTGTGGGGGGGTGATGCCCCTGCTTGTCTGGGGACACCCGGCTGAGCTGGGAGCCGTGCTGGAGACTAAGCGGAGACCGGGATTACCTCCTGGCTGAGCACGCAACCGCAGGGGCTCAGCGCTTGTGCAGCTGCCGCGGAGGCAAAGTCAAATGGGGTTCAGCGCTGCTGGTCCCAGAGACAGTACATGCAAAAGCCGTCTTCTAATACTCTTGTTTCATTTCAGAAACACGAAGACGAGAGTGAAGCCTGGCTCCACAGACAGGTAACTGTTGCGTGCGCAAGCCCCATCTCCCCAGCCTGCGACAGCTACCTGGTTCTCGGGCCCGTGGCTTTCTGAGGTTTGAAAGGAGCTGGTGGATCTCACAAATGAAATCCTAAAAGGGGATTCCCCAGATAGAAGCCATTCGATGGGATGGTCCTGGTGGCCCATAGCCTCTGCTCTGCCCCTGCCTCACTCTGTCCTCCTCAGTTACCCCTGAGGCGGCACCACTGAGACAGCACTAGGAGAGCTCTCTGCTCTTTGGGACCTAGAAGCCTCTGTTCTCAGAGATGGCAGGCCTCTGGTGAGCTCCAAGGATGGGTCTGCAAAGGCTCCTTCCCCGGGGCCCGGAAGGGGGTGAAGGAAAACGCCCGCAAAAAAAAGGAAAACCCCCCCCCGGGCAAGTCCCGGGGGCCCAAAAGCAAGGGGGGCCCCCCCCCGGCCCCCCTGAAAGAAAACCCGGGGGGAATCAACAAAAACCCTTACTCCCGAACCGGCCTCAAAACGAACCTTCCCCTTTCAACCCTAACTCGAACCAGCATCCTAAAGCAGGCTCTGGGAACCTGAGGGGGAAAGAGAACAGGAAATCAACCTGGGTGGCCCACCCATTGAGACATAGTCGTTCGATGCCGTCAGGTAGGTTCACGGTACAACAGGACAAGACAGTGACAAATCCCTTTATCTTTTGATTCCATGTTTCCATGGACGTCTATGCTGCCTGCCATTGGCGGTTGACGTGATTTCGGTTCTAAGTCAACAAAGCAGACCACTGCCTGGGCCAGCGCTGTGCCTGAGCCCATTGTAACATAAACATCAACCCGAGCTGCTGTGTTTTCTATCTCCCTTCCATTGTTTCCTTTCTTACCCTGATGTCAGAAGGACACAGGTGACGTTTTTGAAGCATCCCTCCTTATCTTACCCAAGGACATAATAACTCTCTCAAATGTATTTCTCTCTCTGTGGTGCGTGGGGGTGGGGGACCAAGTAGACAGAATGACACGGAGAAGTAGGCGTCTTCCTGTGAGAAACCCTCTTAATAGAAAACAGCGGAAGCTGAACAATGAAACGACTAACAATGGCTCTCCAAGCAAATGCTAACATGCTGGCTAGGCTGCTGCTTGTATTTGTAAGCTCTATTTATTTATAGCTTTCATCATGTCAGGGGTGGTTGTCTGAGAAAGGGATGCCATCCGTTTTAAACACATCCCTTTCTTGCTCCTTGCCAATCTTATCCAAAAGGGCAATGGCCCCCTATGGCCTCTCTTGTTTTCGCCTGCCCTGCTTTGAGTACCAAGTCCTAGTCAAAAAGAAAAAAATATCTGCCTTGAGAGACTACCTGGGAGACCTAAACTATTAGCCTACTAGAAAGTTCTGGAAAACCACTTTGACCGAAGACATAAACACAAACATCAAAGTAATGTTAAACATTCATTTTATATCCATCAGTACCAGAAAGATTGAAATGAGAATCGGGAAGAAGACTCCATTCTCTAGAGTCATTGGTTCAGTCACTATGAGCGGATTGTAGGTGGCACTGCGCTAAGCTTTGTGGGCTTTAAAAACCAGCTCGTGGAGGTCTCACTGTCTAGAAGGAAAGATAAGATCTGCCCATGAATTCTGTAAAGTGCTCGGACCATGGGTTGAAGATGTTTATTAGTTCAAGGGTAGAAGCAGGGAGACAAGACGTGTAGCACAGAAGAGGTAACCTAGGTGTAGGTTTGACACTCTGTCAGGAATGTGGATCTGGGTCAACAGAGGAGAACAATCGGGTGAGGGGCCAAGTGGCAAATACAGCCTAGCGATTTGTTTCTTTCTGGTGGCTTCTGGAAATTGAAGGTTGGGTGTTTTGCCCTCTGCCCACACCTCCTGCTTCCCTAATTTCTCTACTGAGATATGCTCACACTGCCACTTGTAGCTAACAACAGACGTGCATTGTCTAAGGCCAGATGAGCTGAGGAGCTGGCTCCCATCCAGCACATAGCTCCTTATCTGCCAAGTGGCCATGGGACCAAGATCCTCAGTGAGACTCATGTATTTATCTGCTGTACATCTTACCCCCTCATGTCAGACCCCCAATCAAAGCCTGGTAGAGAAAGCCTGAATGTGACTTGCAAAGCCACATCTCTCTGAGCAAAATCAATTCTGCACTTAAAAAGTAGAATACATTCAAGTAATAGAGCTTATCAGGTTAAAAGATATATTTTAAAGCAATGGTTCTCAACCTTCCTAATGCCTCAAACCTTTAAGTTCCTCATGTTGCAGTGACCGCCCCCAAACTATAAAATTATTTTCATTGGTACTTCATCACTGTCATTTTGCTACTGTTATGAATCAGGTGACACCTGTGAAAGGGTCATTCAACCCCCAAAGGGGTTGTGACCCACAGGTTGAGAACCGCGGCTTTAAAGCATGTACTAACAAGACAGATAGCATTTTTTAGAACAGTGCTTTCAATATGCAGAGTGGTTTCTTGGCAGTCCAGATGGCCATGATCCATGAGAAGGCCTTTGTTCACCATGAGGTGACTGCGTCCTTGTGAGGCCAGGTGGAGAGGCCACGGTGGCACATAGTCTCAAGCAGGAGGGGCAGGGAGCTCCACCCGCTTGTGGCCTTTCAGCTCTGTGGTCAGTAGGGAAATCCAGTTCCAAACAGGGTTCTTGTTAAATTGCATTTGAAGAGCTTCTTCGTTAATGGCCCTATTTTTTTCCAAAAAGAGTGGGCAGTGTATTTGCAGGGCTGAAGGTTCCATGAGAGCCTCAAGGGCAGTTTAGGAACCTGTTTAGGGTGGGATCTTCCAGCTCTTGCCGGCGAAGCTCCTCCCCGACAGTAAGAGGTAAGACCAAGTCACACTTAGGCACCACTGCCATGTCAAACATGTCACAGATGTCCACCTAAAACTTCCACGGAAGATTGCAATTGAGCCGACGTCGATGAGATGTGCCTGAGTGGACAGCCTGTTTTCTGATAGGCCGGGGGAACTGAGAGGGGCTGCATACCCACAGCTGGGGACTTGAGAAAGGCTATAGGCCCAGTGTGAGAGGAACTGAGAGGGGCTGTAGGCCTACTGCCGGGGAACTGAAAGGGGTGCTATACCCACTGCCGAGAAACTGAGAGGGGGTGTATGCCCATTGGTGAGGAACTAAGAGGGGCTGTATGGCCACTGCTGAGGAACTGAAGGGGCTGTAGGTCCATTGCTGAGGAGCTGTATGCCCACAGCTGGGGGCACTGAGAGGGGCTATATGCCCACTACCGGGGGAATGGATAGGGACTATATGCCCACTGCTGAGGAACTGAGAAGAGCTGTATGCTCACTTCTGGGGGAAGTAAGAGGGGCTGTATGCCCATGCCGGAGGAACTGAGAAGGGCTGTATGCCCCCGAGTGGGGCTGTAAGCCCACTGCCGGAGGAACGGAGAGGGACTATATG